ACCCAACAATAATTGTATATTTCACCTTCAAAGTTCGATGAAAACCTCATGAATTTACCACCACGATGTTCGTTTCAACTTTCTCTTTCCACTGATATATAATTCAATAGGGTTTAATAGGAAAAATACCAATAGACAGATTTCACATCTTATGCGCCCCCATCCTTGTCTGTAATTCTTTTCTATTTTGGATTTCTTGAATATGTAAATGTGGGATATTGCAAAGGTCTTTATACTTCGTACTGTCTTATCTTATTGTAAAATTAGCATTTCTTTGACAATGAAATCCAATTAATAAAATCTTTGCGTCAATTAAAAGAAAAAAATATTTTTTCCAATCACTCATTTCATATAGTGATGATGATTTCTTTCTCGATCAGTGGATAAATTAAACAATGACATCACTGTGTTTGTCTAACGACTAATACAATCATGTTTTTCAAGTATCTTCTAACAATAAATTTCTGTTTTTTTTTGTTATATTTTCGCATTGACTGAATATTCAGAATCTTCTGTTTAGTTACTTCATATCGATTATGATCGTCAGGAGAACTAGAGGTGGAACCTGTGCCGGACTGCCAGTAGATCGGTATTTACCTGTCCAAACGGTATTATATATGAAAAAAGATAATGAACTGAGTTATGACATCTGATGCAATGTATTAATACCCTATTGTATTGTCGTTTTTTAATGGAAAGTCGCATATTGAACATTTTCACAGTATCATTCAAATTTCTCATACTCATGATATAAGTTAGTAATTCACGCGAGTTCACCATAGAACAAAGTTTCAGTAGATAAATCGATCAGTTGCTGAGAGACGGGCATTTACTGGTCGAAATAGTATTTACCAGTCGGACCGATCAGACCAGTTCCATCTCTGAGGAGAACTGTTGAATACTGTTTACGTCCATCTATAGAATTCGATGACATTCGAATTCAATAATAGACTTATGATATTGCAGCAAAAATGAAATAATTAGTACAAAAAAATTTCATTTGATCGGGAGATTAAAATTTGATGATATCACTGCAATGTCTATTGATGCTATTTCAAACTTTAGGGAACATAAATAGCAATGAAAGAAAACCATTGGGTTTAATTCTATAAAATCAGCTATGAAAGCATGTTTTTTTCTATGTAATTAAACGTAGTGGATCTTTTAATGTGCTGAGAGCTAGGGAGAAAAAGCAGGTTTCAAGACTTCAAAACACTTTAACAGACTTCATCGAACTTCAATCATAGAGCCTTCAGATTTTCACAAGACCTTAAAAGATTTCATGGGACTTCACATGACTTTAAAATGCGTTCAAATACTTTAAGAGACTTCATGGATTTATGAGACTTAACGGATTTGTTGAGACTTTAAAAATATTGTGAGAGTTCTTAAGACTTTGAGAGACTTTACAGGGCTTCAAAAGACTTCACGAGACTTCAGAAGACTCACAAGAACTTCAAAAGACTTCGGCACTTCACGGACGAAATCTCCGCTTTTCCCCCCAAGATTGAGACCTTTAATTTGATTTTTATTGTAAATAAATCATTTATTAGATCAAAATTTAATCGTACATCCACTCTAGATAAACAATGTTAGAGACGCTAGTACAAAATATGTGAAAACGTTATATGCATTTATTGAACGAACACTTGAAGTTGACGGAATAGTTAATTTAAGATCATCAAACGGTCTCGATATATTCAGATATTTCATCGAAGACTGTTGTTCTTTTTCGCCATTTCCAACAAAATCTATTATCGTTGGAAATTCCTGAATACAACTAGGATCATTCCAATCAGATGGAAATGAATTCGGAAATGCCCATGAACACATAAGTTTTAATGGACATTTATAATCTGCTAATGCTATAAGAATGGTAACATGACCAATCAATGGAAAAACATAAAATGTTCGTGTTTTGCTTGTCATTGTTGCAAGATGAGTAGCATAATCAAGATTTGCTGCTGGATCTAATTGACTTGATAACATCAATACATTTGAATTCATCGCTACTTTATGATAATATTCATCCAATGGATACTTAGGCCATTTAGATCGTAAAGATGTAAAAAGTTTTAGATTTTCTAGAGCCATTAATGTTGAATTATGCCAAGCTAACAGCGTCTCTTCATCAACTTCCTCTTCATCTTTACTTAACCAAAGTTCTGATTGAATTATATTAAAACCGAGTACAAGAGAATCGTACAGCGCTGGTGGAGAAGTTGAACTATTTTTTCTTAAATTTTCTGATATTCCAAAAGTAGTATTAAAGAAAAAATTTAGTATTTTTACATCGTCTTGATTACAACGATTTAAACGAAAGATGACGGCTGGTATAACAGTTCGAGTATAAAACGATATACTCGATGACATCATACCACGAAATAAACCTCGAAGCTTGTCAGCAGTTATATGATATTGCAAAAAATGATCATTAATACAACGTTGCTTGTTTTGATCTAATTCCTTAAGTATTTTAGACAACATTATTTGAGGTGGCTCATGAATAGGAAAATGTCGACTACATTCTGGTTGAAATTGGCAATAAGCTAAAAACCGTGATGCAACTAATGATGTCCAAAGATCATAACGGCTCATAGAAAAAAGTTGCGAATGAATAACACTGTCCATAATAGCTGAGTGAATCAAATTTGGATAGATTTGAAGAAAACGATCGAGCCATACTGTTCCATAACTCATACTATAGATAGATATACGACCAGAACTAATAGTTTGATAAAAACGAATTTGAACTGCTAAATCATGAGCTGCTGCAGTAATTGAAAATTGATTTAAACCTTCTATACTCCATTTTGAAGTTAAATAAGAAATACAATCAATAGTTAGATTCTGTGATCCATGATCATCACAAGTCAATGGAGTTGATAATCCAACACCACGATGATCAGATAGTATAATAGTTATACCATAATTTGATGGAAAAAGTAATGGTATATATTGAATGGCAGTCCAGCCAGATGAACCGGGACCACCTGTTAGAAAAAAAAGAGTATTGTTTGTTGTATAATTCTTATCGAAAGGGATGAGACGTGACATTGATATAGAAATCTTCGTTCCATTTGCTTTTGCATAATTGAGAGGAACTTCAAGTTTACAACAATCAATTGAATAATTTCCAATAGGTGGAATAAAATCAGTTACATTGCAATCAGACCATACACAACCATTCAGTGGAACATAATTACTCGACCTAGCTCTTGTCGATTGAAGAGTAAGAAAAATAAAAAATGCACAAAAAACTAACATGAATATATGATATATTATGAGTTTGTTAATTGAAAAAGAAATTATTCTCTTCCTTCCCTTTTATACACACCTTTAAAGGTTTATTTTCTCGTTCGCTTATCTACTGATTATATAAAAAAATGTAGTTAAACATAGAATACGAAAAAAGTCGTATGATATTGAGATATTTATAATCTTACTACTTTTATGAGTATAAGAATTCAAATTATGGGTGTTACTTTATCTTTACTTTATAAAATAAAGGTAAACATGATCTTTATTTTTACAAAATAAAGCTAATGAAAATCTTTATCTTTATAAAATAAAGAAAAAGTGACTTGATATTCACTTAATGACGATAAGATAAAGAATAAAGAAAGATATTTTTCGTTAAAAACCTAAAATTCGATCTTGTCCTGATACCTCACAAAAAATTAAAAAGTCATGGACTAAAAACGAATTTTGAAGACAATATTGTTTTCATAAATCATTTGTGCGTTACGCTTATTTTCCAGTATATTCCATACTGCGACATCGCTGATCATAAGAACTGTGATCAATGTTTCCTTTTATTATATCAAAGATCTACTTATTTATCGACCACTGAGAAAAATGTTTCTTTATTCTTTATTTTAATTTTATTTTTGCAAATAAAGATTATGTTTATGTTTGTTTTGTGTGAAATAAAGATTTTTTTATTTCTTTATCTTTATTTTGCAAAGCAATGATAAAGGTTCTCGTTGCTTTATTCTTTATTATAACGAAATATAAAAATAAAGTAACACTTGTTATTCAAATGATTAATCAATTTTAAAGAAAACGAAATAAATATTAAAATATTGTGTATTCACATCAGCTTTTATACAGGAAGGTCCAAAAGTCACCTGTCAGTATTTAATTGTGAACAACTTTTGACACGAACAAGATAACTAACTGCGATTTTCACCATTCGGAAGAGGATGGTTTATTGCAAGGGGCAAACAGCGATTTGTGATTTAAAATGATTTAAGGTGATTTAATTTTGATTTTCAGCGGATTTAAATCAATTGTTTCCCTGTCATTTTTGATTGACATAATTCAAGTGATGTTCTCAAAGAGATTTAAATTGAAAAACAAACTGACCTCTCTATTTTTGAAGAACAGACAAATACAGTCTGCTGTTCTCAACTCTTGCTTTTCAGCAATCGATTACTTTGTCGAATTTAAATAATAAAAAGAAAACGTACAGTTTAATTTGCCGACATGTTTCGTGTTGTTTATTAAAATAAAAACGCACTCATCAGGGCCTGTGCATAACTATTTTATAAAAAAGAAAAGAAAGAAGAATTAAAAATAAAAAAGTTAAGATAAAAGAGATTCAAGTACACGAAAAGAAATACATAATCAAAAAAGATAACCATAAAAATAAGAATAAGAATAAAAATAGGAGCAATGACAAAGAGAAACTTCGGATCTAATATTAAACGATATAACATGTCAATAATTGGTATTGCTTCAAGATATTGTTCATTAGAATGGTGTAATTTCTCAATAATTAGTATCATTTCAGGACATTGTTCACTAGAAACAAATGTTAAACGATAAAAAAAATAATAATTGATGTTATTTCATCAGATTGTCTACTATAATCTTATATTAAATGGTATAACATATCGATGATTGGTATTATTTCAGGACATTGTTCACCAAAATCCGATATTGAACGATATCATATATCGATAATTGATATTGATATTGCTTCAGAAAATTATTCACTAGAATCAATTATTAAACGATATGATATGTCATTATTCAGTGTTGCTTCACGAGGTTGTTCACCAGGATCTAATATTAAATGATATAATATATCAATAATTGAAATTATATCAGGACATTATTCACCAGATTCTAATATTACACGATATAATATATCGATGTCGAAAAAAAAATATATAGCTCATTGTAATTATTCGATGCCAATCGTTATAATTATTTTCGTTGAGCAGGTATTAGCTATATTGAACAAAATAATGGTTCATATTGTTTAGATAAAAACTCTTTTTGTTTTTAATAGAAGATTGTAAAGATCAATATAATTATGATCGGATTTTGATCGAATATATTCAGCAAGAGTAATTGGTGTTAATTTTCATTTCATATCATTATCCGTCGACCTTTTTTCATGTTTATTATTACCAGATGGAAATCGACTGGATATTGGTGTAAAATTCACTACAAAAAGAAATATTGATTTGAAACATATTTTGATTTATTGGAATGATTTCAGGACATTGTTCATAATCAATATTGATAGACAAAAATCGAAAAAAATAGAATGTGTTAATTTTTATGGTTTATCTAATGTTATAACAATAATGTTCTAACATATTGAACGTTGTATCTACAGTATTAATGAATGTATTCGATTAATAAGATAGATATGATTTATTTATGAAAAATCATTTGTACCATTTCATATCCATTCAAATAAATAAAGGTTTCTGCATTTCATTTAATAGTACATTTCGGCTCGGATTATTAAAATGAGATAATATATCATAAAAAATGTTTAAAATAATAAAAAGTTTCATTTGTTGTTCATATATAGAACTTTTTTAATATAACATAAAACATTACGTTTTATACATTCCAAGAAAATAAATTCAATTTGAAATGCACCTTTAAATAAAGCTAATGTATATTCACTAGTCGAGTAATAGGATTAAAATAATAAAAAGTATCAAATTGGATAAATTTTTATCATTCAATATTTATTCAGATTATTCCACATCGAAATGAATTTTTTGTATAGATACATTCTTCAAGAGTGTCATTGAGATCACAATTAGCAAAATCATACGACACTAGGGGTGTGCGGTGTCAGTGACAATACTGAAAAAACTGACACTGTGGGCACCGATACTG